AGAGAGAGAGAGAGAGAGAGAGAGAGGAGAGATCCCAGCAGCAGTATTACCTTTAAGTTTGGCGAGCAGGCAAGTCTTCCCGATGCCCCTGGCCCCGTAGATGCCCACAGAAAGCGGCATTTCCAGCCTTTCGTCCGTCAGAATCTCCGCAATGCTGGTGGCGTAGATGGTATAGCCCAGAGGGTCGCCCTGCTGTACTGCTTCCGGTGGGTCAGCGTGAACCACATCCGGCAGGTCAGGGTTCTTCGGCCGCGACGAACGCTTCTTTCTCGTGCTCTTTGACCTTGCTGACGTAAGTAAAAGTCAAACAGTCAAAAAGTCAAATAGTAGGAGTAATACACCATTCCCATAACACGAGGGGCCTGTCCTTAGTGCTGAATACACCATTTACACAACTGGGGTGACCTGTCCTTAGTGCTGAATACACCATTTACACAACTGGAGTGACCTGTCCTTGGTGCTGAACACACCATTCACGGCAAGTATATGTTTATGGATGAATGAATGAACACGTCGTGTTTTACATATCGTTCTTATAGACACCTAAAACATGAAATTAACATGTATAGATGGTATGATTACGGCTTACGTTTAGATGGCCGTTCGGAGTTGTTCTTCCTCAGTGGCGGCACGTCTCCTGCATAGGCAACCTGATACCGCAAGGCGGCGCTGTTGCTCTGTCCAGGCGCTTCTGCCGCGAAGTGGTTTGGAGACGCAGCAGGCTCGATTCTACTCGATCTGAAAACGTCGGAGTTCGCGCGTTGGTTCGAGTCTTGTATGGCTTCTTTCCCATCTATGGCCGTCTTCTCCACATCTGTAGGAATGAATGGATGAATGAATGAATGGATGGATGGATGGATGAATTAAATGAATGAATGAATGAATGGATGAATGAATGATCAGGGGTACAGAGATAACAAAATCAACACACAAAGTGAACACACAAAAAAGGACTAGGTAAGACATATACAATCACTCTCACTCACTCACTCACTCACTCACTCACTCACTCACTCACTCACTCACTCACTCACTCACTCATTCTCTCCCATATACAATCCTGTATGTTTACCTTTATGTGAAGACTCGTCACCTATGATAAGATGGTCCGTTCCGTTCGAACCAGGTGTAGGTAGCTCCGACGGTTTTTCTGTTTCATTCTCAACTCTAACCATGGAAGGTTGGTCGCCCCCCTCCCCATCCGATTCTGCCGAAATGTTCACGTTTTGCTGACGTTGTAGCAAGTTTCTGTGTTGGTTTAATTTTTGTCTCGTGTCGTTAGACGGTGGTCCCTCCCCCGCCGCGTCAGTGGTATCGCCCGCGCGTGAATCTCGTTCCCCGGCGTTCATGTCTGTTCTCGTTCCCAGTCAACTCAGTTCTTCAAAATGGCCCTAAGAAATAAGGAAAGAAGCTTTTAAAGATGCCGCCACAAACTCCTTTTGGTGTTTCAAGTCGTCTTGACCTCACCTGACCTTGAGGGCGTTGTTACCGTCACCATGGCAACGGTAACCCTGTCAGCTGACCTCAGAGGGTGTAGGATTTCCGTTGCCATGGAGACGTGTTCGGGTGAAAGGTGCCCAGTGGTGTCGTGTTCAGAACACAAAAGTATCAGTAACGCCACAGTCAGAAAAATATTTCTGTTTTATATAATGTTGGATGATTTATACTTGAGTTTTGGAAATTATGTTTTAGTTTTGTTTGAAATATTTTTCCTTAATGTCTTGTCTTTCTCTAAGGCAGTAGGCAGTTTGCGTATCAGTGACGGTACTTAAATAATCTAAACATTACGACAGAAACTTATCGCCATAGTCAGAAAAATAATTCTGTTTTTACTCGACTACATTTTATATGTTAGATAGTTTACTTACGTTTTAGTAATGTACGAAATATTTTCATTTTCATAATCTCCTTCTCGAAGGCAGTAGGTCAGTAACACAGTTATTGATTTAAGTTGATCCCATGAATTATAGAGGCGACGTGCAAATAAACAGCGCTTTGGATTAACTTGTACAACCTCCGAATCACCATGGACCAAAACTGACTCTCTCTCTTCTCTCTCTCCCTCCCCCTCTCTCTCTCGCTCCCTGTGAGTGTGTGTGCGCGTGAGTATGTGTTTTTGTGTCAGTGTGAATATGTGTGGGTCTGTCCGTGTGTGTGCGCGCACGCGTGTGTATGTGCCTCCGGCAAAGCTACGTTCTTGGATATACGAAGACTTCTAAAGTATCCAAAAACGTGCCTGATCCTAGCCCTAACCCATCCAGACACAGAATTAGACAGGCACCGTTCTGGGTACGGTAGAGGCTCAACTTTGTCTGACAACAGTTAGTAACAGTAACGTCACTAACGATGTTTTCTGATCTCTTAACAATGAAGCACCCAAAATCTCAGACAATTTAATGCTGGTAACATGCAGCAAGCAGAGATAGTACTATACGTTACTATGCGGTTACTAGACGTACCTTGTTGGATAGTGTGTAGATAGTTTCCTCTCGTGTTGAGTCCTGTCGTGCCAGTGTTTGGGTTACTATACGTACTATACGTTACTACACGTTACTACACTATACGTTACTACATGTTACTATACGTTAACTATACGTACCTGTTTGGATAGTATGTAGATGTTTCCTCCCGAGTTGAGTCCTGTCGTTGCACTGTTTGGACACCTGTCACCCATGGCGAAGCTAACTTACAGGGAAACACAACCGACTCGGATAGGGTTTGGTTTACATAGGATTGGATTATCCTCCGTAGCAGGCTTATAGAACTGGGGGTTTGGTGGTCTTTGGCTGTTTTCTGATTAGCCCAGTTCTAAAAACGGGGGTAATTCAACCAGGCCGGCTATGTTGTCTATATGCAATCAGAAAATAGCACATAAAAGCTCCCAAAGACTCTGAAGACCCCCAAAACCCCCAGTTTTTGGCATCGTTATGGAGGCTAGGTTTTGATTGATGAGTGGAATGAAACAGATATGGGAACATGATCGCTCTAATGCATTGTGTTTAAAGGTGGCGGATCAAACAAAGGAGGGTCTGCATGCACTTTTTCGTAAGGCGTAATCAGGTGGTATAAAGGTGTGAAAGTCAGAACTTCATGAACTTGTGCCATTTAGCCGTTGTATTTTATTTTATCTCTTTTATTTCATGAAGATTTACCACATCTGTGGAAGGATTGACATAACAGGTGACTATCACCTCTTTAAGATGTCAAACCCGAGACCAGACTGTAAAGTTTGAACCACTCACACCGGGAAGGATTCCCTACTCTTTTCGATAAGTGCGGTGGGTTCTTTAACCTGCCTTTCCCAAGGGCACAAGATCAGTGACATGTCTGACATCGGGCAGGATTCGAACCCGGGACCTCTTGGGCCTGGGCCGAACAGTACGCTACCGCTACGCCACACAACCTGTACACTTGAAGAAGCCACGCAAAAGAGACATGCACAGTGAGTGCCCCCATGAAGCATACGAACTCAAGTCAGCCACCCAAAGCAATATTTCCGGGTACGTAACTAAACACTAAACGGATTCCAACGATAGAATTAGTGTTAATAGATTTTGGAAATGGGAAATTCGCTCCACATTTTTGTTACACAAGCCGAAAATGTCACTAGGTCAACCTGAAGCGCTTGTCTAAAATTAGGACAATGTAAGGGTGTGATTGGGATTTATCGGTAACCACTGGTTAAACAGTAAGACTACCATACCACGAGATTGAATAATAGATTGTCTATATCATATCATATTTAATCCGTAAATATATTGATATAGCATTGCCTGGATATTGGAGGACATTTGCTGAATATTATACGTGTATACATCGGCGTATGCTCCCTAATCCAGCGTCTTGTAAAACCCCATCAGAGCCCCAACCATCCGGCTGTCTCGTGACTAACCTTTGACCTCTCTTCAGAAAAAACGCGGGCGCTGCGGACATTTCTTAAGCAAGACGGTGCCTTAAGGCGATTTAAACGTCTCAGACCCTCCCAAGACGCCCACAGAACGCCAGGTAAGACGTCTAAGATACTATGCCAGGTAGTTATAAGGATGACACGTGTTTTGTTGCGTTGTCAAGTACAAAAATTGAGAAAGTTTTGGTTGGCTGACGACATCATGGCTTAAAGTTATAACGACAGAGTTATTTTACGATATATATGGGTATATGTGTAGTTTTAAAACTTGCATGAGGACACTTATATTTTCATTGTCAATGTTGGAAAATGAATTTTATCACTCAGGCAAATCAGAGCAAAATAATGTCCCTAGCTTGCAGGGTCCACCCACAAAAGAGAGGCTAGGGTTGGCAGAATTTTTACAGGGTCAGTCGGGAAACAGGAAAGACAACAATTTTCCCTGGGCCCAATAAGGTACAGCAAGCCTCGAAATACCCATGTGCAATGTGAAAAATGCACCTGAAACGTCTGACAGATTCCAAAATCATATCCAGTTGCTTGAGTAACTGTTTTTTTGGTGTATCTTTTTACCTGGACGTCTAACCTTCATCAACATACTGTAGATATAATTTTGCACATAAATTTTTCAAGTATTTTGAGCCCTGTACAGTTTGAGTCAGGTTAGACAGAAGTTGAGTGTTGAAGTGAGGTTGTTGTTTGCCAACCTGAGCAGGATTGCTGCATTATACACACACAGGTGAGAGGTGAGCAAACCTCAGGTATCACAGAGTAAACAAAGGTGTCAGGTTACCAGGTAAAACTCACCTGCAACAGACATGTGGCCTCCTGGGCATGATATAATCTGCTTCATTTTATTTGCTATGTTAAAATTTTATTTTGGTACATTTTATTTGCTACATTTTATTTGCTACATTCTGTTTGCTACATTTTATTTGCTACATTTTATTTGCTACATTTTCTTTGCTACGTTTTATTTGCTTTATTTGTGGCATTTTATTTGCTACATTTTCTTTGCTACGTTTTATTTGCTTTATTTGTGGCATTTTCTTTGCTGCATTTTCTTTGCTACGTTTTATTTGCTACATTTTATTAGCTACATTTTATGTGCTATATTTTATTTACTACAAATGTGCGGTTAGTATCAGGCACAGTTCTGGATAGTCTCTCTATTGTATCCAGAACCATGCCTATCTAGTTCTATGCCTGAATGGGTTAGGGTTAGGATCAGGCACAGTTCTGGATAGTCTCTATTGTATCCAAGAACGTAGATTTGCATCAGGCACGGTTCTGTATGGGCTATCCAGAACCGTGCCTTTGCATATATTTTGTGGACAAAACACGTTCTAGATATCTTTTCCACAGCCATGTAGTCAGTCCTAGTGCTGCTGATTTGTAGTTATACCCTACATTTGCATCTATTCCAGCCATGAAGCCAGTCCTAGTGCTGCTGATTTGTAGTTATACCCTCCACATTCTTAATAATCTATTGCAGCCATGAAGCTGGTTGTTGCGCTGCTGGTTTGCTGCCTGGTTGTGGTGAGCGGACAGGGACCGGACCCGGAAATCTGCGATCCGAACCCGACCAATCCCGGCCCGGCGCTACCGGAACTGCCGCCGATGTTTCAGGTCCGTGTGGAAGCGAACATCGTGGAGAAAAACTACACCATGGTGCAGCACGAGTTCTACGACTACCCAAACAACAGGTTTGTTTGTTTGTTTGTTTGTTTAGGGCCTGTAAGGGTTAAGGTTAGGGTTAGCGTTAGACCACACCATGGTGCAGCATGAGTTCTACAGTTTTTCACAGTACTTTTATGTTCACTGTTTTCACTGTCACTTCTGTTCCGTTGACAATAACAAATAATTCCCGGACTTTCTCTTTCCTGCACCTGTCGCCACCGTGTAGTTCCATGAACATGTCCATTTTTCTCAGACCCTGAACTTTTGCTACCGTAAACATAAAATGAATTACAGTATTTTAAGTCCTGCAGACTAAGACTGTACCATTTTGCTCCGCAGGGGTGCGCTGATGTCGTATGGAAACGGGAGTCGCCGCCACGAGGTGTACGACTACGCTACGCTGGAGAGGTTCACCATTTTTGACAGTAAGTACAAGGTGCCGCCATTTTGGATGGTGTGTATCAGGGCTCGAAAAACTAGATGCATTTGCACCTTAGTGCACCCAAAATTTGGAGCTGTGCACCCAATGTTTTTCTGTGGTTCTATTTTCATAGGTTTACGTATGTAAAAATGTTAAATGTATAGTAGTATACAGCATATTCTTAGCATCTAAGGGTCAGAAAAGAAATAAAATTATTCTAGACTGTCTTGTACTTTACTATACTTTAGAGCTGAGACATTATTAGTTTTTGCTGACATTCTACTTGTTTTATTTTATTTGGTGCACCCAAAAACAATTTTGTGCACCCATTTTTTTTAGGTTGGGTGCACCAGTGCAACTATTCCCCAAAATGAATTTCGATCCCTGTAAATAAATACTAGTGGATAAATTTTCTGTGCCATTTGCAGATGGAACCTGCCTGACGTCCAACATGTCGACTTCAAGGTTCAACTTCTTCTCCTACCACATGGAACACGGACACGCTCACATCAACAAGGCTGGCTTCATCCTGCACTTTGGGGCTCAGTTTAACGAGACATACAACGGTGGGTTATCTTGAAACTTCATCTGTGTTGATTTTCACACATGGTCTTTCTGCAACTTACGATCCACTGGCTCTCCGAGTCACGTGTGTCATCTGCATAACGTGACGTCACGGAAGCAGTGGATAGCTCATTCTTTGACTAGACTGGAGTTGCACAGTCAAAAATTTGGCTACGTCCCCCAGGGTTGTCCCTAGCTAGCCTGACTATATCACCTTTAAATGTTACCTGCAGTAATTATAACCTGCATGTGCAGGTGGGATTTCAAGCCCTGCTCTAACGGCTACTTTCTTATGTCAGGTAATGCTAGATGGATAAAATCATGTCCCAGATAAATACAAATCTGATACATTAAATTTTGTAATTTATGACACTGTATTTCAGGCACTACTACCGTTCGTGGCATCCCAGTGAACCACTGGTACTCCTGCATGCACAACTCCACGTGGAACTCCACCTACAAACTCGACTTCTACTTCTCTGTACCCGGCTACCAGACCGCTTCCGGCCAGGACCAGATTCCCGTACGCGCGGAGATACGCGGAAAACGTGAGCTTGTTTGTTTGTTTGTTTCAACCTTTATTTGTTTATTATACATTTTCTTTTTGCTGGTTTTTTCTTCTAACTTCTTCTCCAAACACATAAGGTCAATGACCTGGACCAGACGTCTGTCACCGTGGTATCTGGTGCTGTAGCAGACACCCTGTGGTGTTGGGGTTGTTCTATCATGAAAGTTTATCAGTGTTGGTAGTTACAAGTTTAGAGTTAACACTTTGGATCCAACACAAAAAGTTCTCTCACCTAGAGCTTTTGACCAGCCACTCTGGTCTTCCTCAGTAGACTGACCCAGTGAAGCTTGTCACGTGGCTTCTTTGAAGTGTGACGTCAACACAACATGTCAAAGATATCTGGTAGACGATGTCGGCCCCCGTCACGGTTACAACTTATGGGATATATTTTCTTGTGTTTACAGGGCTGACCTTCAACCCCCAGACGAAAGGTCCCTCTCGCGAGTACAAGTCTATCCACCACATCTATGACTTCCAGGTAAGCTCCACTACGCAAGAACTCGATTCATACATTCCGCAAAAGGCCTGCATGTGCCATCTTGTTGTAAAGTCACTATTTACTACTTACCACAAATTCAGAATACTGGCTTTGTATTCTTGTGGTTTAGCAGCATTTTTACTTTTTTTACTCACCCACGCACACTAGTTTGGGGTCTTCAGAGGATGTGATCTATAAAATTAAGTTGATGTGGCCTAAGACTCTTAGGCCACATCAACTTAATTTTATAGATGACATATTAGTAAGAGACATAATTTACTACAATTGTAGCTATGTAACAGAAAACCCCAATATCCAATTCCGATTGCTGTTTCCCACATTCCAGGGTTTCCACAGCCGGACCGGTCACCGTGACATGACCTGGGTGTACCAGACGGAGGGTGTGGTCTGTCCCGGCCGGGTTAACACCAAACCTGTCCCCTCCACGCCCCTGCAGTTCTACGCTGAAGTGGAGATGGTCAACATGAAAAACCAGACCGTGCAGTACATGCGGGTATGCAGACATTTGAAATCACATTTATCATACAGTATTAAAAAAAGATTCGAGAAAGAATTACACGTCACATAAAAGTCTCACCTATACATGACAATCATAAAAAAAACATACAAATTCTGCCTTGAACTTGAAGATAATCATCTAACATTACCAATAATGTATACTACCCTGTTAGTGAACTGTTTGGCCTGGCCATGGGATAGGGTCTTTACTTGGGTTGGTAGAAAATTCCAGAGTTTCACGGCCCTGTACACGAAACATGCTTTCCCCACTGTTACTTCTGGGTTTTGTGTGCATTGACTGTCCCATAGAGTAGCTGTGATGTGCATGTAGATGTGCACAGTTCTGGATACGACAGGCCTAACCAGCTGCCCCCCTCCCCACAGGAGTACTTTGACTACAATTCGAAGCTGTTCCGAGTCGACTTCCACCCCACCAGCAACAGGAGCAGAAAATGGTCCTTCGGCCCCGTCCAGCACAAGGCCATCCACGACTACAACTCAGGTCAGGGGAAGGGTCAAGGGTCAGAGGGTAGGGGTGTGTCAAGGGTCAGAGGTTGGCATGTGTGTCAAGGGTGACAGGTTAGGGTTAGCATGTGTCAAGGGTGACAGGTTAGGGTTAGCATGTGTCAAGGGTGACAGGTTAGGGTTGGCATGTGTCAAGGGTGACAGGTTAGGGTTAGCATGTGTCAAGGGTGACAGGTTAGGGTTGGCATGTGTCAAGGGTTGGGGTACCTGATTAGTCACCAGCTGGCAAATTGCAGCATTAATTTGTTTACTTGGGTTTTTTATTTGTTGACTTTGTGTTTGTTGATATGTTGACATGTTTGTGTTTCCAGGTCTGGAGTACTTGATTAGTTACCAGCCTGAGAACTGCACCATTCGGCCCATCTCCAACTACTCGTTTGACGCCGACATCGACGCCTCCGACCACACCAAGGTGCACATGAAGACGTCTTACGAGATGTTCCACTTCGACGATAAGGACTTCACCTACTCAGGAGTGGTGAGCAACCAGTCTTGGAAACCGCATGCATTGACTGACCTTAGAATTTACCCTTGAAACCTAACCCTGATTCACCCTGACTGAACTTAAAACTTAACCTGAACTGACCTTGAAATTTGATATCAGACTGACCTTGAAATTTGACCTTGATTGACCTTGAAATTTGACCTTGACTGACCTTGAAATTTGACCTTGACTGACCTTGTAACTTTGACCTTGACTGACCTTGCAACTTTGACCATTAAAAAATTGCACGTGAACAGTGGCATTTTCACTGACTGATGTTTTGTATATGATATGAAGGAAAATAGGCACGAAAAAGAACATTTTGACCAGCAAAGTTTTTTTTCCTGCCTGTGTTCAGAGCCGAGTTCGAGACATCCAGACTGACGTGTGGGTGAGCAGGGAGGTGAACTATCACGTTCCACAGGGCAGCAAATATTCTACTGACTTCACCTACCAGTGGTACTTCTCAGCTGTGAGTCACTTCTTGTCTTTATTATATACCTCCATGAAAAATGGAGGTATTGTTTTTGGCATTTCTGTCTGTGTGTGTGTGTGTGTGTGTGTGTGTGTGTGTGTGTGTGTGTGTGTGTGTGTGAGTGTGTGTGTGCGCGCGCGTGTGTGTCTGTGTGTGTGTCTGTGTGTGTGTGTGAATGTGTGTGTGCGCGCGCGTGTGTGTCTGTGTGTGTGTGTGTGTGTGTGTGTGTGTGTGTGTGTGTGTCTGTGTGTGTTTGTGTGTGTGTGTGTGTGTGTGTCTCTGTCTGTCTGTGTGTGTTTCCGCAACTTTGTAGTCAGCATAACTTCAGAACACCTTTATGGACAGTGATGATATTTTGTATGTTGATAAGTGTACCGTGGTAACACCTTTCGTTCTTGCTTTCTTAGGGAAACTCTGTTGCCATGGTAACGGTTATCTTCTTGCTTCTGTAGGAAAACTGGACGTCGACAACTCGTGGGTCAGTGAACCAATCACAGGTGCCGATCAGGCTTAGCAGGAAGGGAACCTGGCAGGTAGGGAACGAGGGAAGGTGGGAAGGGGGGAGGGAAGGTCAATTTTGTCCATCAAGGTTGACGGATTTCTCTAAAAACTTTTCCGTCACACGTCACAAAGTTCCTGCAATTGACAGAAAAACTTGTGCTGGCGAGAGTTCTCCCTTAGATCTGCAGAATGCATTATTTATTTCTTTTAACACTACAATTTGTAAACACTTTTAAATGTGCAATTTATGTAAGGCAGAATTCAGCCATTGATTGATTGATTGATTGATTGATTGATTGATTGATTGATTGATTGATTGATTGATTGATTGATTGATTGATTGATTGATTGATTGATTTGCAGCGTGATGACTCCTCGGCCCCACATGAATCGGAGCTTGTGTTCAACATGTTTAACTTCGACTCCGGCGAGCAGCATCTCTGGCACTTCGACGTCTCCTTGTGCTTCAAGGAACCGAACATGCAGAAAGGTGTCTTCTTCCAGGTACCAGGTGAGTGAAGACGTCTTCTGTGTACTCTAGACTAAGTACCTAAAACCAGCTCAGATAAGAACAAGAAATAGCCATGCCTTCAAGTACCAGAGTTATCAACCAAGGATTGAGGTGTTAAAAAAACTCATTCTTTCCTAGAACTATTGCAGAGTGGAACTGGCTGTCACCAAGTAAAGTAGGAGCATTGTCATTAGATAGCGTTAAACAATGTTTAGACTTGATGGGCAAAGATTAGGTGTAACGGTTAAGTGGTTCTCTGGCAATTTTCGGTTGACTCCATCAACCATGTTCATGGAATGGACCCGTCTACTCTTATACGTAGATGGGTCCATTCTGTGAACAAGGATGATGGAGTCAACCGAAAATTTGGGGTATGTCCCATTTCTGTTGTCTAGGTGTTGGAAGTTAAAGCTTAGTCTTTATTTTATAATGTTGTTGTTCTGTTCCCAGCTCTGTACAACGATCTGATCAGTGGCGACAAGTACCGTTTCTACCGCGCCGTACAGGCCGCCGTGGCAGAGGCTGCTGGGATACACGCTCTACGCGTCACTGAAGTCTGGGTAGGTCCACTTTTGTTAAATGTTTACCAAATAAGGAAAATTGTTTTTCCTCTGTTTCCTCTTCTTCTTCTTCCCCAAACCATTAAGGTCAATGTCCTGAACCAGACATCTGTCACCTGAACCAAACGTCTGTCACCATGGTAACTAATGTTGGGTTACATCATGTTGTAATTTTATTAGCAGGAGGGATTTAGACTCCTGTCTGACCATATATGAATGTGTTTGAGTAAGAATTAACAGAGCAGACCATGTGTGAAGGTAAACATTATGCATTTGCTTTGCAAATGTTACCTTATTAATGTTACCTTAAGTTATAAGATTTTAGTAAAAGTCTTGTTTTTCCCCAGCACACGGCTACAGACGGCCCGTTGTGGGTCGGCGCAACCTTGCTGGAGCATCCCAAGGTCAAGGGCGACAGTGTCGAGATGACCCAACAGAAACCGCTGGAAACCGCCTTCAGCGACTTCAAGCAGCGTCTGGACGCAAACGCACTGGTCATCAGGTTTGCTCCGGACCCTTCAAGGGGACAGGTAGGAGGAAACAAGTTATTATCTAGCTACGTTGCTGAAGGTTAGACATCCAGGTAAACAATACTCATAGACAATTCAAAACTCTACTAAATGAATGAATGAACACAGATATATATGAGTAACTGGAAAAAACGCTTGAACAGATGCATGACAAAGACTTGTAAGTGTTAAGTTAAGATAGTAAGGAACTGCTACTGTCCCTTAGGTGGTGGCACGTATCTCTGGTTCAAGCTGGGGGTGTAAATCGGCTTGAAGGCCTCAGTTTTGAGTCAACAACCTTAACTATGTATACATAGTATGTTACATTTCATTTCACCTAATCTGTTCTGAACTCCAGGAGGTTTACCTGACAGCTTTGCCGGGTTCGCTGGAGACCAGCAAAGACTTCATCACCTTCCTCAGTCAGAAGAACAAACCTTCTAACACCTACCGACCAGGTAAGGTGTCTTACAACTCATCTTAAACCTTCCAACCCCTTCCAACGGAGTCTTAGAAGTAAATTTAAAGAAAAAAACTGAAACATTCAAGAAACTGTATAGTTAATCAGGGATGAAAAATGCAGGAAAAAAAATTATGCTACATGCTATGTTAAATGTCTGACTCTTGACAGAATATATCCAGGATTTATTTTGTATGACCTTGATGTATGACCTTGATGTTTGACCTTGATGTTTGCCCTTGATGTTTGCCCTTGATGTTTGACCGTTCTCTGCAGGCACCGTGGCGGGCATCGCCATAGGAACGACATTACTAGGCGCTCTCATCGGGGTGGGGGGCGCCTGGTTCATGTGGAAGTACCGTCTGCAGGACGTGCCCTACGGAACACAGACCTGACCTTTCAACCTTGCCCTGTAGCCTGACCTTTGAACCTTATACACTTGAACTTTGACCCCAAGGAAACAGACAGGTACTTGACTTTAACAATGCTGGTTTCTTGCCCTTGACCCCTAAGTATGAACCATTGACCCTTTACTGTTGACCCTTGACTATTGACCCTTGACCCTGATGCCAAAGATGTTCTTGATTCCTTTGTCTCCCCTGTGCTGGGTACAGTGTCTACCTGTGATGTGTTTTCTTGGTTTACTAGACTGTGGTGTACAATTCTTTTCTTTACAAAGGAGACGTTTTCAATGCACTTATGGTGTTTGAATGATATAATTTGACAAGAAAAATCTTATGTATATTTTAGAATTACCTTTACAGCTGCAAGTGGGCTACATGAAGTAACTTTGCTGCTTTTGGGGATACTTAAGGTTGTTTGTTTGTTTGTTTGTTTATATTTAAGTAGAAATCCTAGTTAACTGGATTGAAAGAAGACAATTGCACAGAACTTATTTTCAATTATATGTGATTGTGTATATTCTGTCTAATTAGGGTAAGGTTTAGTTGGTTGGTTAATTAGTATTGCCTTGCATACACCATTACTCGGCATTCTAGTACATGTATCTTGTGCCTTGTGGTTGAGGCCAACTCTTTATTATATATTTAGCCAAAATAGAAGTAAAGTTGAAGTGGGTTTGTGTGGCGTAATGGTGGCATGCTGATCCTGGGTTTGAATCCTGCCATGTCACCGATCTTGTGCCCTTGGGAAAGGCAAAATTGGAGCTGTGCAGGTAAAATTGGAGCTGTGTATTTTGAACTTGGAGCTGTACAGGTAAAATTGGAGCTGTGTATTTTGAAATTGGAGCTGTACAGGTAACATTCAAGTATGTTAGAGTTTGTGGATTCTGGTTTGTTGTGTACTGATAGTCCATTCAGGTTTCTGTTCAAACTTACGAAGTTGTACTGAATCATGCATTTTAGAACTATGAGCAGAGAAAGCAGGTGTTGAGTGAAACTAGAGTGAAAATCTTGCCATGTGAGCAAGCATGAAGGAGCTGACAAAAAGGAACTACCGGTAGAAGAGTTTGTTTATTTATATTTGTTTGTTTGTTTGTTACATTTTCCACAAGTATACAAGTCACAAAGACATGTTTGTTGACAAGTAAACATAAATGACAATCCAAACTGTTACAAGTTTTGGCACCAAAGTGTTACATTTTGCAGCTTAAACTTAACTTTCTAAGGTGATTGTTAGAAGGCAACATATATGTTACAAACCAGGGTTGTTACACCAAAAAGCAACATATGTTACAAACTAGGGTTGTTACACCAAAGTGATCTATGCATATCAATCTAGGATTGGAGTGGAAATTATATATCCTGAAGTTCATTGTGTGTGTGTTGTCATTTTATGTTTTTGTTTTTTGTTTTGCTTCTGACAAAAATGAATTAGAAGCGTATCTGTCTCTGTTGTCCAGCATTATTTACCGTACAGAAGCGCCATCTCGCGAATCGTGACGAACTGCACGCACTGACCGCACATGAGCGCTATCTAGCGATCCTTGTCGGAACTGCAGGTCCCGTGACACAACTCTAACTGTAATTCTGCAATAAGCCTTTCAACAAATACTCCCATACTCCGTGCCCGGCTGATACTCAGTACTGCAATTACTGACCGTACAGGAGCGCTATCTAGCGATCCTTGTTGGTACTGCAGGCCCGTGAACGTACCGGCTGTTTCTATTGACTCAGCTCTAACTGTAATTCTGCAATAAGCCCTTCTGTAAATACAATGTTCTCGACCGATATCCGGGTTTTTGTTCCGTTCGTGCTTCGGAGTTGAAGAGGTCAACATCAATCAATATCAGGGGCTAACCGTTAATACCAGTGGTGGTGTGGGTGGGATGTACGGTCCCGCCCACCAGCAGGATCCCCGGCTGCAGTAACGTACGGTCCCCTGTTCAAGCTGTCGGGAGCCGGTCTAGAGAAAACCACGAAACTCGCTTAGCACACAAAACATACAGACACACAGAAACTTCACAGATATGAGAAATGTTACGTCGGTGAAGGTTAGACATCCAGATAATAAGATATGCCAAAAAACAGTTACTGAAGCAACTAGATATGATTTTGGAAACGGTCAGACGTTTCAGGTAGCATCCACTGTACCTTTCGTCAGTGACACTGGAGAGTTGTCAGAAAGACAGGTTTATAAGTAGAAACTATTAATTGAAATGTAAGAAATGTTGTTTTCCATTTTCCAATCACCAAATATGGACTTTTAACCAACCACTTCCGTCATTACGCCCCATATCAAATTTCACTTCTATTTCCACTTAAAATTTCCGTCATAGAATCTTCTCGAAGACGCCGTGACGTCATCGCCCTAAGACTTCATTAGAGAAGACGCAGCGTCTTTTGTCTGAAGACAGGAGTTCTTCCTCCTTAGAATTTGTCTGACGTCACCACTGCTGCGTGGGCGCCGCACGGGCCGTCTTTTATATAAAATTTTATCGGCTTTTATATAAACGCTAAGAAAAATTTTATTGTAATTTTCCACTGAGAGTAAAATCACTTCCATACACGTCGCTTGTAAGACCGAACCTAGAATATATGCCGCGACAGTATAGGATCCATATACAAAGAAAGACAAACTGGAAAGGGTACAGAATCGCCCAGATTCCTTTGCTATGTCGTTTTGTTTTCTTTTTTTGCGTGAATTTTGGCTTCTCTTCAGTGCCCCACTGACTTTATTTCTCTAGATTGTACCTTTTTTGTTACTGCTGTACAGTAAAAAATAGAAATAAAAAATGTTATTATAACCACCTGTTGGACCCTAACTTTCCGTACTTGGTATCGCCCCACGACATTTGCAATAACGATTTTTTTGCGTATCCTTTTGGCTTCTCTTTTGTACCCACTGATTTTCTTTTCTAGGTTGCACCGTTGTTGTTACCGCTCTGCAAAAAAAAAAAATTAGAAAATGTTATCATAACCACCTGTTGGACCCTAACTTTCCATACTTGGTATCGCCCCACGACCTTTGCCCCCGGACTTTCGCTCGCCTGTCGTCTGATGATGACGTCATGTGTGGATGTTTGACGGCTCTAGATCCGGGTACAGAAATCAGACGACGTTTTTTTTCCCGCCCTGGAAAAATTCTCACCAGTTCGTCTTCTAACGGTAAGAATTTCGATCTTATTTCTTTCTTATCTTTAAGATTACTTAAAGATTTGTCTTGGATTGTTGCCATGGTAACGTAGGAGCTATTCTCGCCTTGAAGATAGCGTAGAGGAAGGCTGTTATCATGTCATTATGACATAGTTATGAACCATGTTTGTATGCTTATAGACTGATACGGAAAAACAACAATCCTGATATTATAAAATATTATAAAACTGTTGGTGTCTGCATGTGTCTAGTAGATATAGAGGCTTATTTGTTTGTTTGTTACACCGACTGATAAATAAGGTATAAGTATTTCCAACTGTAACTTGCCAGAAAATTAGAGAACAAGAAAACAGTCTCGATTTGTTAAGATGTTGTTACAGTACTAGTAGTAGTGGTTGGTTTATTGTTAAAACATAGTAGATCGGCCTTGTAGCCACGGCTAAATTGCCCCGAGCTTCACTGTACAAATTCAACTACAGTAATTGAGTAAAACCAACGTGATTACTACAATAATATGAAGAGCAATAGTACCATTAAACAGTGTTGCCGTATGTACTTGCTGACGTGACGACTGACACACACAAAAACGGTCTCTGTGCGGAATCATGCATTACAACATTTCTATCCAGCGCTAATAAGGTGTTGGTATCCGTTAACAGCCATATTGTCAGCTCATTCCAAAATCATATCCAGTTGCTCGAGTAACTGCTTTTTGGCGTATCAGCCCTTTGTTACCGATTACTCTCCAAGCAGAGTTTAGGCTTCGATCCATATTTGGTGAATTTATCGGGTTTCCTTTGTTGTACCGGTTTTTCATTTTCCACTGGATAGTGCCCTGATAATTTGATACTGTCATTCCAATTTGACACTGTCCTGTTGATTTGATACTTTCCTTGATACAGTTATGTAAATTTGATACTGCCCTGTCAAATTTGATACTGTCTTTCCAATTTGATACTGTCTTTCCAATTTGATACTGTCTTTCCAATTTGATACTGTTTCGCCAAATTGATACTGCCCTGCAAATTTGATACTGTGTTGCCAATTTGTTACTGTCCTGCCAATGTGATACTACCCTGCTAATTTGATCCTGTATATTTGATAGTGCCTTGCCAATTTGATACTGTCTTGCCAATGGTGATGATCTTGCCATCTCGTTTCATGTTACATTTTACAATCGGTAAGCGATTTTATGTGGTTTGTAATTTTAGTGCTGTAAAAGATCAGTGCAATTCAGTCCTTCTGCGATACCGTACCTATTGTAGGTTCAATGAACCAGTCATATGTTGGAGATGTCAGAATAATTATAGCTGCCGCCAAGCCTGTACTGCCGCTAACACGCCACTCAAATCGCGCGTTAATTACTTGTGTGGAAAGCATGACGTCAAGGAGGTATATATGTATTGTGAGTGTGAAGGAGGGGGGGGGGGCTTTGTGTGTGTACTTGGGAGAAACACGTGCGGAGCCGGCACGTGTTGCATGGACTTGCATGTGCGTCGACACGCGTCGCCAGCTATTGTAGCCAGAACCGTTCCTACAATACAGTATTCAGTATTGCTGCCATCAAAAAGTCTAGCGTACTTGACATATGGGAAGACTTTGAAGCAAATCTTCAGAAGGTGCGGAAAAACTCGCTTGACAGACGGGAAAACCTTGAACCGCATCTTAAGAAAGGCGCGAGAGAAGTCAAGCGTCTTGACACGTGAAGACGAACGTGAGAAACGTGGGCGAAGTCCTTAAGAAGTTGAAAGTGACTTCATCACGGGAACGTGTGCGGCAGAAGGAGATGAAAAGAAGCAGCCTCTTGACACGGAGGCGGGGGCGTCTCAGAACCGCGGCAATCCGCTCAGCAACATCTTGTCGGGAGAGTTTCACGAGGGCCTGCATGGGGGGTCACCACAACGCTCTACGCTAAATTTTCAGAGCCGGCTACGTATTACGCTAGCCTCTACCAGGCACCGCGGATCGCTGGAGAAATAGTAGAAATTGGCCGAAATAAAGGGATAATATACTAGAGAAGATCCAGGGCCATAGAAGCTCCCGTTGGTCGCCAATTGGAGCTTCTATGGTCCTGGATCTTCTCTCTCTCTATATATACTATCCCTTTATTTCGGCCAATTTCTACTATTTCTCCAGCGATCCGCGGTGCCTGGTAGAGGCTAGTATTACGCTGAATTCCAGAAGCGTCCGCCAGTACGCTTTACGATAAATTCCAACTGGCTACAACGCATTACGTAGGATTAAAACGGCGAATACTCTCTACGCAAAATGCGCCAGTTACGCTCTACTAATTGGTAAGGCAGTATCAAATTGACAGGGAAGAATCAAATTTGTAAGACAGTATCAAATTGGCAAAACAGTACTAGATCAGGGGTACCTTCTGGTCCGTTACACCGGGGTACAAGGCGCATTTCTATCTAGGGGTACCTTCTGGTCCGTTACACCGGCAGTAGAAGCATGCATTATAATCATCATTGTCATTATTGTCATTATTGCTTGTATATAATATAACTGTATCATACTAAAGGATCATATCCCAATAATAGTTTGCCGCCGACCAGAGGTGTGATGACGTCAACACGGGACGTGGGTTATAAGAACTGGCGACTGAAAATCTGAATCGAGTTGAAAATAATTAACTTAATTAGGTCTAATAAAATATAATTAGAGGTACGTGACGTCAGAACGGCGGGCATCACACAGGAGGAAGGAAATATGATCAGCGTCTTGAAGACATTTAGGTTTTTCTTCGCCGGGAGGAAAGAAGAGACTTAATTTGTTTACTAGCATCATGATATGAGGATTGAGATTTGCCTACTCCATAAGCAGAGGTCTAGAATTCGGCTTGAATGGATGAATGAATAGATGAATGAATGAATGAATGGATGGATGGTATTGTTGGGTGGATGAATGAATGAATGGATGGAAGAATGAATGAATGTATGAATGGAAAGATGGATGGAGGAAAAAAACTTAAACTTTTTGATCTGCCCGTTTTCCAGATATCTGACGAGTTGGCCGCACCCAAAACCGGCCTGAGCGACCTTGGCCTTGACAGGCTGCGATCACGACATGTCGCAAACCGAAGAGGACATGCGCGGTGCGTCCTACGGCGAGGACCTGCACATGGACGAGCTGCAGCTCCCGAGCTCCTGGTAGGTGGCGCTTTTAGCAACAGTTGTTTCATTAGAATTATCAATGGTTTGTTACTCCGTGAAG